TCACTCTGTCGCCCAGACTGGAGTGCAGTGGCCGCTTCCGGCCACCACAGCCTCGACCTGCTGGACTCTGGTGATCCTTCCGCCTCAACCTTCCAAGTTACCATGCCCGGCTAGTTTTTTTATTTATTGTAGAGATGCGGTCTCGCCAAGTTGCCCAGGAGGGTCTCGAACCCACGGGCTCAGGCAATTCACTCACCTCAGCTTCCCAAGGCGCGGGATTACAGGCTGAGCCACTGAGCCTGGCTGGTCTCCCCCTATTTAAACACTCACAGAAACTAGGGGGCGATGCACCAACCAGCATAGGACTCTGGGTAGGGTGCCAACAGCATCTGCTACCCTGGGAACCCTCAACTCAGTAAAGTCACATCAGATATGCTCTGCAGAGCTCCACCCACAGCTGGGCCACCAAGTTCTTCATGCTGTGGCAGGGACAATAAGAAATAAACCTGCTCTGTAGTAGGAGACATTTATCTCTCTTGTCCTTGGCAGAAAGCAGAGGAGAAAATGTCTCCCTTGAGAAGTTATATCCACAGAGTAGCCCTCACACTGGGGATCTAATTTCTCATACTATAGTTGACCTTGAACAACACAGGGGTTTGGGGCACCAACTCCCATGCAGTTGAAAATCCATGAATAGGCTGGGCATGGTGGCTCATACCTATAATCCCAGCACTTTGGGAAGCTGAGGTGAGAGGGCTGCCTGAGAATAAAGGTTCGAGACCAGCCTGGACAACTTAGCGAGACCTCATCTCTACAATAAATCAAAAAATTAGCCAGGCATGGTGGCACATGCCTGTAGTTCGTTACTTGGAAGGCTGAGGCAGAAGGCTCCCCTGAGTCCAGCAGGCCGAGGCTGCAGTGGCTGTGAGTGCCACTGCACTCCAACCTAGGCAACAGAGTGAGACTCTGACTCAAAAAAAAAGAAAAGAAAAATCCATGGATAACTTAACTACTAATAGCCTACTGTTGACCATAAGCCTTACTGATAACATAAACAATCAACATACATTTTATATATTATATATATTATATACTGTTTTCTTACAGTAAAGTAAGCTAGCAAAAATGTTATTAAGAGCATCACAAAGAAGAGGTAGAATATAACTGTGGATAGAAATAAACTTTCTAGTTCAAATTAATCTTAGGTGAGCTAAAGGAAGAAATAAAGGAACAGAAGATGGGAGGAAGGAAGGGAGAGGAGGGAGGGAGAAACAAATGTTCTTCATGTCTGATGGTTCTATAGGCTGAATAGTGAAATTTTAAGATGGAATGAACTGGAAGGTCAAACCCAAGCATGCAGAGATGATAGCAACCTTTAGTCTGTTTTCTAATGACAGCATGTCCCAGCTCTAATGGTACACTATGCGAACACTCTTTCTCTCTCACCTATGCCTTCTTCCTCTACCCATCTTCCTAGATCACCAGAAGTTTACTTTTTCTCAAGGATCCCAGGAACCACCATCAACTAATTCTCTGGTGGATTCTTCTCAAAAAATGCTTTAGAGCTTCTTTCTCTCTTTTTTTTACTTTTTTTGAGTCAGAGTCTCACTCTGTAGCCCAGGCTGGAGTGTCTGGCACACTAGTGGCCACTGCAGCCTCGACCTGCTGGGCTTAGACAATCCTTCTGCCTCAGCTTTCCAAGTAGCTGGGACTACAAGTGTGCGCCACCATGCCCAGCTAATTTTTTGAATTATTGTAGAGATGAAGTCTCACCAAGTTGCCCAGGCTGGTCTTGAACCCCTGGATTCAGGCAGTCCTCTTGCCTCAGGCTCCCAAAGTGCTGGGATTACAGGCTTCAGCCACCTTATCTGGCTAGAGTTTTCTTGATAGAGACCTTGCAACTATTTGAATTAGAAAATGTTCTGTTAAAATATGTTCACAAATTCTTTGATAACCTTCCCTTCAAGAGGTGAAGGCTAATTCATTTCCTTTGGAGTGTGAGCTAGATGTAGTAACTCAGTTCCAACAAATAAAAAGTGGCAGAAATAGGTGCAGTGACTCACGCCTGTAATCCCAGCACTTTGGGAGGCGGAGGCGAGAGGATTGCCTGAACTCAGGGGTTCAAGATTAGCCTGGGCAACGTGGCGAGACCTCGTTACTGCAATAAATCAAAAAATTAGCTGGGCGTGGTGGCGCACGTCTGTGGTTCCAGCTTCTTGGAAGGCTGATGTGGAAGGATTGCCTGAGCCCACTAGATAGAGGCTGCATTGGCTGTTAGCGTGCCACTGCACTCGAACCTGGGTGACAGAGTGAGACTCCAACTC